TCGCCCCCCACAGTCTAGGCCCTCATTTCACCCACCTTGGAAGGATGAAAGGCTGAGTCAACCTTGAGCCGGGGAGATTAGAACCACCGAACTGCAGCTAACAGTCAGCTGAAGTGGCTGCAGTACTGCACTCTAACCACTGCCGAGGGGGGACGAGGCAGAAGGGGCACTGATCCTGCTCTTCTCCTCCACGGAAGGGACACCCCTTTGTGGGGGCCGTATGCCAAGGCCGGCCACGCGGCTCAGGGGCCGCCCTGGGCAAGGGGAGAACCCGCCGAGGGCCGCTCAATTCACACGGGTATCTTTTGCTCTTCCAGGCCAGCCCTTCTCCCATTATTGTGAACACCGAGACTCTGGAGCCCAGCCTCTCCGTAAGTTTGCCTCCTCCGCTAGAGTCCCTGCCTCCCTCCGGAGGGTCTCGCTTCCTTCCAGGAAGAGGCCCTTCTTGGGCTGTCCGCTGGGGTGGGGCGGGGGACACTCCCTTGCCTGGAGCCTCAGGTAGGGGGTGGGTTTGATCTTCAAGTAGGCCTGCCGGTTCTTGGAGAGTGCGACCCAAAGAGGCTCCCTGGGAATACGCCCGTGGGCTGGGCCCCTTGCTCACTTCCCACCTGCCTAAAGAACCTGCCTTCCAGGGCCCGTCCCGCGGGCATCCTCACCTGAGGCAGTAACGGTGTCCTCTTCACCACTGGTTCAGTAGTGGGGACCTGCGCAGAAGGTGCAAACCGGCCGTATACCACCTCTGCTCTCCGAGGGCTCCTTGTCCCTGTGCAGCCAGTCGGCCTCCTTGGGGATTTGGGGCCCCAGCAAGGCCCCCAGCCAGGGATTTGGGGCTGTAGGAGGCCTTTAAGGGGGGAGCTCCTGAAATAAGCAGCACCGGCGTGGCCATGCCTTGTCCAGGTTTTATTTCACCAGCATCTGCATTGGTGCAGAATCTGGTTTGAACCGTGCAGGAGGGGACTCAGTGACCAAAGGATTTCCGAAGCCAGCAGCCTTTTTTTCTCCGGCCTTCTCCTGTTCCTGATCCACGTGGATCAGAAGACCCCTTTGCTGGCCATGTCAGGGCTGGTCTTTGGCCCCCTGGGCTGTGTGTGCCAGGCGTGCCAGCGGGACACCTGGCATGCCGTTCATTTCTGGGCCCCTGGAACTCCCCTTCTCTCTCCCCCCCCAGGTGAATGGCAGCGACGGCATGTTCAAGTACGAGGAGATCGTCCTGGAGCGGGTGAGTGGGGCTGCCCCGGTTCGGCCTTCCCCTCCCACCACCTTCTTCATCCCTGGCTCTTTTCTGCAGTGGTCTTCAGAGACGGAGCTTCCTGGGGTCTCCAGTAAGGCTGGGAGACCCGGCTGGGTCTTCCCCAAGCCTTCCCTTCCCAGGGTCTGCCCTTCCTGGCCCCCCAGGCTCTCTGCTCCCTCTCCGGTTTCCTGCTCCTCGCTCGGAGGGCGGAGGCTCATATTGGTTCTCTCGGCAGGGAAACTCCGGCCTGGGCTTCAGCATCGCTGGTGGCACCGATAACCCCCATATCCCTGACGATCCTGGCATTTTCATCACCAAGATCATCCCCGGTGGGGCGGCTGCCATGGATGGGCGCCTGGGGTGAGTGTCAGGGGGCGCAGAGGCCCCAACCCTGCAGGGCTGGGAGGTTTGGGGGCCAGGCAGGCGGGGGTTTTTGGGGGCCTCCTTCCCTCACCCTCTGCTCTGCTGCCCAGGGTCAACGACTGTGTGCTCCGGGTCAACGAGGTCGATGTCTCGGAGGTGGTGCACAGCAAGGCGGTGGAGGCGCTGAAGGAGGCAGGGCCGGTGGTGAGGCTGCTGGTCAGGCGAAGGCAGCCCCCTCCGGAGACCATCATGGAGGTCAACCTCATGAAAGGACCGAAAGGTGAGAGAGGATGGGGTCCTGGGGAGGTGGACCATCGCCACGAGCTTCCATCCAAAGAGTCTTGGTTGGGGTCTCACCAGAGGGCCAGGCAGGGCAGTCAACCCCTCAGCTGTCTGGGGGTGTGTGTGCCACAGGAGCTGCTGCCAGCTGGGAAGGTCCCTGTGGGGGGTTCCTGGAGCCCCCTCCTCAGGAGAACCTGCTGCCTGGAGGCGCACGGCTCATTCCAGCTATGGGAGAAGGAGAACAGTCACAGCCTTGCAGGGGAGGCAGTGGCTCCGCCCAAGTTCTTGCAGTGAGGCTGGCCATGCCCCTATAGAGCAGACCTTCCACTTCTCAGCGAGAAGAAGGACCCAAGCTCCCTGTCGCTCTTCCTCTGCCCTTCTGGCCATTTGAGAGGAAGGGTTCCTCCTTGTTGAGGGCCTCCCCCTGCTTGAGCCTTGGGCACTGCCCTGCTCGCCACCCCCCCGTTGTTTGCCAATGGCTGAGAAGGTTAAAGTAGGCCTGAGAAATGGGGGAGGCCCCCCACCCACGCAACGCTCCTCCTTCCAGGGCTGGGCTTCAGCATCGCGGGGGGCATCGGGAACCAGCACATCCCGGGCGACAACAGCATCTACATCACCAAGATCATCGAAGGGGGCGCGGCCCAGAAGGACGGGCGGCTGCAGATCGGCGACCGGCTGCTGGCGGTGAGGACCCAGCGCTGCTTCCCTTACGGGCTGGGATGGGCCCTGCCAGGCGGTCAGGGGCCCCAGGGAGGGAGGTTCCCGCCTATGAAGCATGTCTTCTGGTTATGCCTGGTTCTGGTGCCACCAGAATCTAGGCCCAAACTCACCTGCAGGTGAATGGGCTGGTTGCCATCACCGGGCATCGATCCTCCATATTCTGAGGCACTCTATATCTTTTTTTCCCCCCCATTTTTTAAATTTTTTTTTATTCTCTTACATAGCTTTTTAAATATACATTCACCTAATTGTTATTCTTCTTGACATTTGTCATTCTTNCTTCTTCTTCTACTATTATTATTACTGACAGGTTTTTGGCTTCTATTCCCATGAAAGCTGCGATGGCTTTTTTCTGGGAGATACAAAGAATACAATAGGCGATATTCTGCCTAGTGAGTAATTGGGGCGGCAGAGAATAGGCTCGCCTTATCACATGGACGTAGCCCTTGGAGTGACAGCTCAGGGTGCTTCTCTTGGTGCTGGCCACATTCAGCTCCCTCAATCTCTGAGGGAGGGTTTGCCTTGTGCTCCCATCGCCCGTCTGGCTGTTCCCTGGCACCTGGCTGTCTGGATCCGTCTTGAATGTGTGGCCGCCCTTTTGGAGGTTCTGTTGATTTGGTCTGAAATTTCATTTCTCCACCGGTTTCCCGTTGACGGCGGTTCAGCCTGTGCCGGACTCTGCTTAGTTCCATCTGCTTTTATTCAGGACTAGGAGGGAGGGAGGGAGGAGGGGGGGGGCGTCAAAGCATGAAATAAGCGAGTGGATGTTGCTACGGGAGACCATCCGTCTCTTTGCCAGAGCCTGCTTGGGGATCCTGGCCAACCCGGATCTGGGATTCGGGATTCTAAAGGAATCAGGTGGGCTGCCTTTCCTTCTGGTGGCTGCTCCAGCATTGCTTCCTCGCTCCCCTTGCCCCCAAAAGTGAGCCTTTCAGCTCTACTGGGAACAAGGGGTTCATTTGGCTGGAAAGCCATTTGGGCTGATGAGCGAACATTGTGGGATCCTAAGTGCACCCCAGGCATTTTAGAGAGAGGACAGGAGGCCAAAGGAAGGAGGCTGATGGGGCAGCCAGGCTGGCTGCTCCCTCGTACAGAAACATTTTCTGTTAGGGGGCAATGGTATCCAGTCACTCTTTCCCCCCACCCCACCCCAGCTCTTTTCGGTGAATGTGGACACAGGCCTTCTTCCTGGCGTGTTGGCCTCTGGCTGAATCCGCCCCTGGGCAGCCAAGCCCAGCTGCCCACTCTGACTGACAGTAGCTCTGGAGGAGGCTGGGAAGAGGGATGATCCCTTGGGGCTGGGAGGGGTGGGGCTGCCCCCCCCCCCCATCCTCCCGCAGCTGCCCGCCTCGGAAGAAGAGCTGGAGCCCACTTCAGCAGGCGCCAGTGCTGGACAGCTCCCGTCGCCTGGGAAAACGGTGGCAGGGAGAGGGGAGGAATCTGGGGAGGCCCGGGTTGGGGAGGGCGCTGGATCGAGCCCTCCCCTTCCCCCCGCGCTGAGCACCCCACCCCCCCAGAGATAGGAGTCAGGAGTGGAAGCAGACAGGTGGATTCAAACTGCACCGAAGGCTGTAAAATTAACCAATTATTGGGGGGTGGGTCCCTTGGTGGTTTCTGAGCTTGTTTTCTTGCAGACATTTCATTACCCAAACTAGATAACACCATCAATGCTAATCGTCAGCATTGGGGGGCCCCACCCCACCCCATGTCAGCCCTGAGCTACAAATATTCTCATTTATTATTAACCAATTAAAATAAAATTTGAGATTTTAGTTTACTAGTTTGTGCTCCAGAGGCAACGTTACCTGCAGAATGGGTGGACGGATGGATTGAAGTGTATATGACAGAGAGAGAGAGACAGAGAGAGAGAAAGAGACAGACAGAGAGACAGAAAATACAGAGAGAGAGAGAGAGGGAGAGAGAGAGAGGGAGGGAGGGAGGGAGACAGAGAGACAGAAAATACAGAGAGGGAGAGAGGGAGGGAGAGAGACAGAAAATACAGAGAGAGAGAGGGAGGGAGAGAGAGGGAGGGAGGGAGGGAGAGAGACAGAAAAAGACAGAGAGAAAGAGAGAGAGAGACAGAGACAGACAGAGAGACAAAGAAAGAGACAGAGAAGAGAGAGAAAGAGAGACAGATGGACTGACAAAGATAGATAGAGAGAGAGAGAAAGGGGGGGAGAGGGGGAGAGAGGGAGAGAGACAGAAAAGGACAGACAGAGAGAGAAAGAGACAGAGAGAGGGAAAGAGACAGAGAGAAGGGAGAGAAAGAGAGACAGATAGACAGACAGATAGACCGACAGAGAGAGAGAAAGAGAAAGAGAGAGGAGGGAGGGAGGGAGAAAAAGACAGAGAGAGACAGAGAAAGAAAGACAGAGAAGAGAGAGAAAGGGAGACAGACAGATAGACCGACAGAGAAAGACAGAGAGAGAGAAAGAGACAGAGAGAGAAAGAGAGACAGACAGATAGACCGACAAAGACAGTGAGAGAGAAAGAGACAGACAGAGAGAGGGAGAGACAGAGACAGAGAAAGAAAGAGAGACAGTGAGAACAGAGAGAAAGAGAGACAGATAGACAGACCGACAGAGAAAGAGAGAGCGCTCAGCCACTGGGCTTCTTGAGGCTTCGAAGGAACCTCGTGGGAAAGGAATGTCACTTGGGTGTCCGGTGTCCATTTCTCCACCCCAGTCCCTCCCCCCCACCTCCACTTTTTTCTTTGAATGATTTAAAACCTCTTCGCCTTCCTGGGTGTCTGTTTTCCCAAATTGCATTTCCTTGAGCGTGTTTGCTTTTAATACAGATTTTGGCTTTCGGTTTTTTTGGGGAATGGATTAATCACTCTTGACTGCCTTGGGTTCGGGTTTTGGCAACTGCTTCCTGTTTTTGAGTATTTCTTTCTACAAGTCCAAACTTGGAACCAAGCAAGAACCGAAAACCTCTCAAACTGAAACTGGCGTCCTGGTTTGGCCGGCGGGGGGGGGGAAGGGGGAGTCAGTGGTGTGGTGGGGGCTGAAGACTGACTGTGAGATCCAGTCGCTCTTCTTGGTGTAGGATGGGAAAGAGACCTTTGACCTATTGTTAAAAATAAGGGGTTTTTAACACAATGATCATAAAAAAAAGGTTCCCTGCCTAATTTACTAATTGTGCTTTGTTATTCGATACTGCGCATTTAAAATTACCTTTGAAATCTAGCTCTTGTGGTTCATTGTTAGCTCCTAGGGCAGAGTTGGTGAAAAGCCGAAAAAGGAAATATTGCTAAAGGTTCGAGGTTTCGAGGTTCATTTTATTTATATGCCGCCCTATTCCTAGGCGGGACTCAGGCTGGTGCACAAACCCAAAGGAGTGGGGAGGGAAAACACAAGAACTACAACAAAAAATACAGGGAATTTAAAAAACCACCAACAGCCACACAGATCGAGAGGGGAAGGGAACTCATCGACCGCAGGCCTGCCGACACAGCCAGGTTTTAACGGCTTTTCAGAAGGCCTGGAGAGAGGTGAGGGTCCGAATCTCTGCGGGGAGTTCGTTCCAGAGGGCCGGAGCCGCCACAGAGAAGGCCCTCCCCCGGGTAGTAGCCAGGTGGCATTGGCTGGTAGATGGCACCCCGTTGTGCCCATTCATTTGTTTTCTTTTCAGATAGTCAGATGTATCAAGCTTATAGTTTATCTGTTTTTTTTTCCTGAT